GGGGCACGAGGCCGCAGACCCGCCCGGCTCCGCTCCCCCGCGGCGGGCCCGGCCCGGCTCAGCGGGAGGAAGGAGCCGTGGGGCTTTGCGCCCCGGGTGGGGGTGGGAGCGAGGTCCGGGTGTGGAGAGAGGTGGTCACGACAAGTGGTTTATGAGCTTATTTTACAGACGTTTTGAATTACTCTGTGCCAGGCACTGTTCTCGGTGCTTTACAGACGGTAACCCACTTAATCCTGAAAACGTTCCTACATCGTAGGACCTGTTGTTACTCCCCTTCTTACAGACAGGGAATTGGGATTGCAGAGAGATCTCGAAACTCGCCTGAGGTCACAACCAGCAAGGTGGGGAGCTGGAATTTGATGCTGGACAGTGGTCTTGGCTTGTGCTCTTAGTCACTATACTACCCTGTCTGTGTTTGGGTCCCTTCTGGGTCCTGGAGGGGGAGGTGGCCCAGGCGGGGTCAGGTGCAGATGAAGCAGAGTGGACAGCTCTGGAGGCCAGGGGAGAGAAGAGTCTGGTTCAGAACAGTCTCAGCCTCGTGGAGGCTGGGCTGGACTTCTGCAGTGGGAAGAAGAGGGGAGGATTGTCCCTAATCCTTACCACCCCACTGCCTCCACCCCCACAGTAATAATGCTGTTTCTCCCCTCAGGTGCAAAGAAGTGGCTGGAGTGGAGGAAAGAGATTGAGCTGCTGTCGGATGTAGCCTACTTTGGCCTCACCACACTTGCAGGTAGCACCCCCAGCAGGACCTTGGGACTGAGGTGCCCACAACACAGCCAAGCCCAGAGGACAGGAGGGGGCTGCCAGCAGAGTGAGAAGCTCCTGCGGGTGCTTCCCAGTGTCCCTGGAGCTGGCCTGGATGCAGACTCAGGGAAGGAGGGGACCCCAAGACCGTCTCTTAGAGGGGAGGCCAAGCCCTGAGCCCCACCCTGGGCCTCTGAAAGCTCTGAGGTTCACCTGTCACGTCTGTGTTCCCCTTTCATCGTTTTTCTGTCCCTAGTGACCTTCGTCCCAGACCTTGCCCAGGGTGCCATTGGGACCGTTTTTCCGTAGCTGAATCGAGTCACCTGAGAGGGGTCCCAGCACTGAGCCCTGTCACAGGACATGGGCAGTGAGGCCCTGGCGGAGAGTCATCCTTTAGAGGAAAGGCAGGGACCCAGTAGAGAGCAAGATCTGGTGTGGAGAGAAGGATGTTGCTGGTGGGTCTCCACCTCAGCCTCTCACATGGGCGCTCCCCCCCACCCCGTCCCAGGCTACCAGACCCTCGGGGAGGAGTACGTCGGTGTCGTCCAGGTGGACCCGTCCCACAGCCGCGTGCCCTCGATGCTGCGCCGTGGTGTGCTGGTCGCACTGCACACTGTCCTGCCCTACCTGCTGGACAAGGCCCTGCTCCACCTGGAGCACGAGCTGCAGGCTGACAGCACTGGCACCTGGCCCTCACAGGGCAGCCTGGCACCTGGCGTGCGCAGCCGGTCGGGGGCAAGGCGCTGGGTGCGCCAGCATGCAGCCACCCTGACGGAGCAGCAGCAGAAGGCACTCCTGCGGGCCACGTTGGTGCTCAGGCAGGGCCTCAGCTGCCTCCAGCGGTTCCACGTCGCCTGGTTCTATATCCACGGCACCTTCTACCACCTGGCCAAGAGGGTCACGGGAGTCACCTATGTAAGTAGCAGGTGCCGCCCAGACTTGCTCACTTCTGCCTTACCTGTGTGTAGTTGGCTCCTCACTGTCACAGTCACAAGGCCAGAGCCAAAATCCTTGACTAAAAAACGTGGGTTTTGGGCCGGCCCGTGGCTTAGTGGTTAAGTGCATGCGCTCCGCTACTGGCGGCCGGGGTTCAGATCCCGGGCGCGCACCGACGCACCGCTTGTCAGGCCATGCTGTGGCGGCGTCCCACATAAAGTGGAGGAAGATGGGCACAGGTGTTAGCCTAGGGTCAGTCTTCCTCAGCAAAAAGAGAAGGACTGGCAGATGTTAGTTCAGGGCTGACCGTCCTCACAAAAAAAAAAAAAACCACACTGGCATTTTCCCTTTGACCTAGCAGTTCCGCTTTTAGATACTTATGTTACAGATACACCTGCATATATACAGAAGAAAGTGAGTGCAGAGTTTTTGTTGTAGCATTATCGGTCATTGCAAGAGTGCAAACAACCAAAGTTTCCATCTAGCTGGAATGGCATAGCCACACGTGGAATAGTATGTGTGATAAAAAAAGAATGAGGGGGGCCAGCCCTGTGGCGGAGCGGTTAAGTGTGCGCGCTCCGCTGCTGGCGGCCCAGGTTCTTGTCAAGCTGTGCTGTGACGGCATCCCATATAAAGTAGAGGAAGATGGGCATGGATGTTAGCCCAGGGCCAGTCTTCCTCAGCAAAAAGAGGAGGGTCGGCATGGATGTTAGCTCAGGACTGATCTTTCTCACAAAAACAAAAAACACGTGGGTTTTCTTGGGTCACATTTTGCTAAAAGACCCAAGGAAGTCCAGTTTTTGCAAACCCTGAGGCAGGGTGAGTCTGCCTTCCTGCAGTCAGCACGTTTGGGCCACCTGGGTGCCAGGCCCAGCACCCTGCTCCTTCCTCTGAGCACAGGCCTGTGGCTCCAGGTTCCTGGGTCCTGTACCTGCACCTTCCAGGCTGCCTTGCTGGAGGGTCAGGTGTGGGGATGTCTTCCTGATGGTGACCCCACAGTGAGCACATGGGCCCTGTTGCTGCCAGCATCCCCACCTGCCCACTAGACGGCCATTCGTACCTTCTCCCATCCTGATTCTCAGCTGATGCCCTGGCTTCCAGATTCACCCAGTAAGCCTCAGCTCAGGCCCTCTGCCCGCTAGAGGGTCTCCAGGCTCTTTCCTGTGTCACTCTCAGCATCATGCTCCCTTTGAGAAAGGCCCATCCCACCCCCTTCCTCCACCTCCCTTGGCAGCGCTATCCTGGGCACCTGCACCACCTCCTCCTCTCAGGCCCATCGGTTCTTCACACGCTCACTCCCACGAGAGCTGACAGCTCATTGCCACTAGGTCTGTTAGCTGTTTGCTGAGCTGCCATAACAAAGGGGTCTGGAACCACATGGGCTCGCCCCAGACAGGGCTCTTCCCTCTCCTAGGGCATCCAAGGCTCTTCTCTACTTGGGTACCCAGGGCCCTGGCTAGTCTGGTTGACCTGGCTGTCTCCATTTCCAGCCGAGGGAAGGAAGTGGATGGCAACCGACTTTCTCTTCAAGGACGCGGCCAGCTGCAGGAGATCTGGAACACGGGGTCACCGGGTAGCATAGTGTCACGGGGTATTCAGGTGCCTTTCTGAGAGTGGGGAGCTCGTGTTCCTACAACAGGGAAGCTGGTTCGCAGCGTCTGCTTGTCAGGCTTCTCCTCCCGCCCGCTGGGCACTCCTTCTCAGGCTTCTTTGCCGGTTCCTTTTCTCTCTGGGCTGTGGGTCTCTGGATGTCCCCACGAACCCTGAATCCTCACCTGCAGCCACAGTGACCTGCAGGCTTGGAGCTCCGAGGCCATCTTCCTGGCTCACTCTTGGCTCCTACTGGGAGCAAAGTCCTGAGCTGTCCAGGTGCCCCCTGCCTGCCTGCCCAGTGCTCAGATCCTACCAGGTTCTCCTGCCCCCCTCATCCAGCCAGGAGGCCTGTGGTCACTCTATCCCCACCTTGTGCCGGGAAGGCAGGGTTTGGCCGCATTCGACGGGGTACTCCAGTGCCAGGGAAGGTCTGGCCCCCAAGCAGCGCAGTGCTTGGTGCTAGCTGATCACATGACTGTCCCATTGGGATCCTTGACAGCTCTGCGTCCGCCGCCCGCCTGCAGAGGACCCGAGGGTCCGCACAAGCTACAGGCTGCTGGGGCTCGTCTCCTTGCTGCACCTGGCACTGTCCGTGGGACTGCAGCTGTACGGCTTCCAGCAGAGGCAGCGCGCCCGCAGGGAGTGGAAGCTGCATCGCAGCCTGTCTCACCGCAGGTGCACGGGGGCCTCAGCAAGGGCACGGGTTTGTGGGGGGCTCTCAGCTCAAGTGTGCCCCCCACCTGTGGGGGCTGGGGGCCGAGCATCCCTGTGCTCAGCATTGCTGCTGGGGCTCAGGGCAGGGGTCACAAAGACTTTGAGGCTCGATTCTGTTTGCTTCCCTCCCCCAGGAGCCACGTGGAAGAGAGGGCAGTTTCCAGAAACTCGGTGTGTACCCTGTGCCTGGAGGAACGCAGGCATTCGACAGCCACACCCTGTGGCCACCTCTTTTGCTGGGAGTGCATCACCCAGTGGTGCGACACCAAGGTGGGCACCTCCAGGGCCAGCAGCTGGGGTCTAGGGGAGTGAGGGTCCCCAGCAGGGCTGCAGCCCTGGTGGCAGCAGCAGAACCAAGCAGTCTGCCTCTCAAACCTCCTCTCGTCTGGGGTGGAGGGGTGGGCAGGCGTCTCTTTAAGAGCTCCCAGGTAAGCTGGACATGGGGCCACGTTTGGAGTCAGGGTGTGGTGATTGTGTGTGTCGAGGCTTTGCTGGAAGCACGCTGGAGTGGCAGCTGGTGCCTGTTAGGGTCCATTCCTGAAAAGCTGTGGTGGGCGAGTCTGCCCCCAGCGCCTTAGAAGCCTTGGCTTGTCCGCACACAAAGGGCCCAATCCTCGAGCCCAGGCCAGATCCTCCTCTCCAGTGGGGCTGGCGCTTGCCATGACTGCCCACTTGGGGGCCGCCGGCCCCAGCCTTTTCAGACCTCATGGTGCTGGGATCTGCCAAGCCAGGTGACCGGAGCAGGGGACTGTGGGCCACCTCTTGCCTCCGCGCTGACTCCAAGGAAGCATCCGCTTCCTGGGCGCACACACGCCTCCCCAGTGAGCTCAGCCTGAATCCAGCTTTTCTGGGAGGGGGGTGGGGCACACAGGTGAGGCAGGTAAACAAGGGATGTGATGCTCATCTTGTTTCCTCACATTTCTAAAGCTCTGTCCTGTTTCTCACCTGAGGACGTCCACCTCCACGCGTTGGCCAAGGGGCTTTCCTCAGAGCCCATGGGGTGGGCTCACAGTGGCTGCGGCCTCACAGCCCAGCTGGACCTGATTTAGAACCAGCACCTGTGAAAGCCACTGTGTGTCTGTGGGTCACCGTGGATCAGGGCAGCCTCCTCTTTGGGTTCCCCGGTCCCCGTTTTGTGGGATTCCCCCAGGAGCACAGGTGCTGCCTGCCTTGAGTGGCTGGCCCAGGTGAGGATGCCTGGCAGGCGAGCGCCAACCTTCCTGGGGGAGAGCCCTCACAGTTGGCCCTGAGTCACGGCACGGACAGACTGGCCATCTCCTTGGCTCGGTCACTGTTCCCTGCTCCACTGCACAACGCCTCAGGGCTAAGGCCTTCCCTTCAGGTTTGCAACTTCTGAAAACAGGGCTGACTTTTTTTTTCTCTGTCTTAAGTTGAAGTTAATAGAGACACTACACCCACCCTGAGTTACTGTAGATGCCAGTGGGAGGGGGCCCAAAATGGTCTTGCAGGAGACCCCAGGGCCTGTGGCGGGGGCTGTGCTAGTCACAGCCGTGTGACCTTGCTCCTCCCCCCACAGACGGAGTGTCCTCTCTGCAGGGAGAAGTTCCCTCCCCAGAAGCTCATCTACCTGCGGCACTTCCGCTGACCCGATGGAGGAACCCAGGAGGCTGTCTTAATGTCAGGAAAAAAACTTAAGTTAGTCTCAAGATGAACTTTACTTGCACAGAAATCACAAAATTCTCAAATTTCTATTTTTTGTCACATAAGATAGTATGCCAGCAGCTCAGGACAGAAGCTGGACCTGGCTGCAAAACAGCTGGTCCAGGGCCTTCAGGGCCGGGTTTGGGTACGGGTTCCACCCAGCTCCGTTACCCCGAGCCTGGGGACGCTGATGGCGAGACTCAGCCAGGGGCGGAGGCTCAGCTGAGAGCCCCACACACCCCCACTGTGGCACAGTTTAGTCACTTCTTCAGGAACTTCACTCTTTGGACAAGGTTTTAGGTTCCCTACATTTCCCAAACCATACAGGTGAGAACTACCTTCATAAATAGGCCAGGACAAACTGTATTCACTTAGACAATGAAAAAATGATTCCACATCAGGCGTGTGGTGGGGTCTGGCCTGAACCGGCAAGTGTCAAGGGAGAGCCGGGAACGGAGCAATTTGCTTTCGACGGTGTGCTGGCCCCAGTGACCCGCAAACCTCGCCGTGGTCACTAGACCCAGGCTGCTGAGTGACACGGGCACATCAGCTCACAGGAGTAGGAAGAAACCAAGGAGCTGTATGTCCACCTAAAATATTTAGCACGTACCTTTTAGCACATGTCAAGTTTGTTTCCCATTTTAGAAAAATGGAAATCTGCATCTTGGCCTTACACAAAAACCAAAAGGCCACCTCCTGCTTAGGGTTGGTGGGGCAGAGCCAGTCTGAGTGACAAGTTCTCTTAATGCCTAGGCCATACACACTCGCCTCTGTCAGGCTCAGCAATCTCCCAGAGGCCAGGGGGCGAGACAGCTGCTTATACCAGGTCACTGCTATGTCCAGCCTACTTCCTGCCACCTTTTTGTTATTTTCAGGATTTTATAACTATTTAACTTGTGCCCGAGACAGGACCTTGCTGTAGGCGTCCTTAAATGAATTCCATAGAAGCGTTAGTACATTAAGAACACCTTCAGGGTGAACTGAACATCAGGTTTCCTGAAGGGTGCTGTAAAGACGCCCTTGCCAGGCCTTCTGGCAGGATGTTGTGTTCCCCTGCTGCAAGTGTCACACACAGACTGCTTTTGAGTGTGACTTAGTGGACACAGGTGTTCAGCACAGAGGTGGCCCCACACTCCTCGGTTACTAAAGGTCAGCTGCCAGACAGGCCACTGTGACCACAGGCCGGACTGGAGTAGACCTCCAGACGGAGGGGCCCCGAGGGAGCGCCTCCACGGCTCCTGAAATCCTCACCTAGGCTCTGACCAAGCGCACACTATTTCCCGACAAACATTAGGCCTGAGCATTTACTAGGAAAACTGAAAAATTAAAAAAATGCCTAGAGTTTGAGTACTTCAAATGCTGCAACGTGGTAATGAAAGTACTGATTTGGAACATCGTTAATATGAAGTTTAAGGTACAGGGTCAGGTATATAATAGGAATGGCCTCTTAAAAACAAGAGGAGCTCAACTTCAAATGTGCGAAAATCGGCAAAAGAAAAGCCAGACAGGGTTGGCATGGTGTAGTAGTTAAGCACGTGCACTCTGCTTCAGCTGCCCAGTGTTTGCAGGTTCAAATCCCGGGTGCGGACCAACACACCACTTATTAAGCCACGCTGTGGCAGTGTCCCACATAAAGTAGAGGAAGATGGGGACGGATGTCAGTCCAAGGCCAGTCTTCCTCAGCAGAAAGAGGACTGGCAACGGGCATCAGCTCAGGGCTAATCTTCCTCAAACAAAAGCCAGATAGTAAACTTGTTCAATGTCTAAAACCCCAAGATGATGGGAAACTGCTCAGGGTGGAACCTGGCCCGCCTGAAGACTGGGGAGGAAAGAGACTGGTTCATATTGCAGCATGTGTGCCCCAGGGACACCAGTGGTCATGTTTGATGTCTGTTCTGTTGCTGTTGGCAAAAATGGCTCGCCCTCCAGAGAGCCAACACTTCTCCGGGCTGGGTTGGCTTATGTGCAGCGAGCTGGATGCTTTACATAAAGACTACGCGAGAAAGGGGACACTGTCTTTAATAAAGTTGGAATTAAAAAGTCACTTAGTAAAATGTTTACGAGTATTTGTTTTTATCACATCAAAAAAAGTTGACATGCAGGTCAGAGTTGTGTTTCTCCATAGAAAGTGAAAAACCACGTTAAAACCCACAGAACCGGTCTGCTCTTACCAGTGTCTCTGTAGAGGGGCAGCTGCATGAGAACAAATGTCAATTAATCAAAAACAAAACGGCTCTACGTATCAAAGAAATGTGTCAAAATAATCTCAAACAATCAAAATATAATATATATATTTATAATTCCAGGACCTCAAAAGCAATCATGGTAGTTAAGAACAGAGTTTTGAGTCATTATGATAGAGGCCAACTTGAGACATCTCTGGTGAGATGAAATGAGGAAACTGGCATTCGAACCCAGTCACCGGAACCGCCCTCAGGTGCTGAGCTCCTTCAAGCACAGGCAGCAGGCCAGCATCGTCCTCAGGCAGGGGCGAGACCACCAGCGTCCTCGGGAAGGCGGCAGCTGGGGTGCAACCCGGTTCTGGGCTCGCTCCACGGTGCACTCCATGCCTGCCCGCCCACCCCAAGCTCCCGCCCGCGTCTGCCCGGCCTGCGGTTTACTAGAATTCCATCCGTTTGAACACGTGAACGTCACTGAAAAATAAATCAATGCAATTCGGTTTAAATGCCAGTTTCTTCAAGAACCTGATATCTCCATTACAAATCACTGAAGCTCCTTTTTAAAAAGAAAATTGGATTCCCTCGTAACCAACTACTTTATGTGAAGAAGGCATTGTTACAATGGCTCAAAACCGTCCTCGGACTCCGCGTGGCGGGTCCAGCCCAGCATCTAACTCGAGAAGGTCTTGCCCGCGTCCTCCTTCCCCTTGTACGTCCTCTTGCCGTGTGTGAACGGGATGTACCGGTACTTGATCATGTGCTGGGGACAAACAGACTCAAGTTATTTCACAACAGCTTCCCGAGGAGCCACGTTTTCTCCAAATCTGAATCCCTATCTTCTCTATGCATCAGGCAATGAAACCCGGACTCCAACGAGCTCTAGTCCCCTCGTCGACACAGCAAACCTCCCCAGCTCAGCTGAGCCGGCCAAGCTCTGTCAGAAACCCCAAGGGTCTGGGAGAGGCTCTGTGACCCCTGGAACGCAGAGAGGGCTAGAGATCCTGGGCTGAGGACCTAGGTCCGCAGGCGCCCGGGTCCCTGCTGATGACAGACGCTGGGGGAGGAAGGGGATGAAGCTACACTGTCATGTCTGCCCAGTTTTAGGGTAACGTTGGCATACCACACTGTCATCCTCCGGCAGGTCCTGGGCTCTAACTCACAGGACGATGTGCCAGTGAAGACGACACGGCAGACCTGAGGGCACAACTGAGGGCCTTCCCCTCCCTGCCCCCAGAGAGCTGCCTGCTGCAGGCCCCCTCACTTGACAGCTGGACTGTGGGACAGATTCGTGTTGGGGGACCTTGGTGGGGAGCGGGGCACCGTATCCCATCACAGACCCACACGGAGCTTCATGAGGCTCCATGTGCACACACGGCAGACTCTGCATCGCCCCCATGCCAGACCTGAGCGTGGCTCTCCTCTCAGCGCCACGGTAACAGGGCAGTAACTGTGGTCTCTCTCAGCGCAGCACCGTCTCAGTGTTTACCTTTATTTGCCTCTTCATCGTGATACAGAAAAGCATGATGAAGTACATCACCAAGATGGGCCAGAACACTGGGACATTGAACGCCTCAAAGAAGGTACAGACCATGGCCACAAGGATACCCTTGGTCGCTGCGTGCCTTAAAGGAAGGAGAGAAGGTCAGCCAGCACCAGGCACCCAGCGCCCTCGGGCCCACGAGGAGAGTGTACATCTCTACCCAGGGAGCTGTGATGGCACTGCATGTATTTTATATATGACGGTCCTACATGTAACCACAAATATAGCATTCTCTCAGTCCCTTGAAACCTCAAAGCATTCTAAAATCCCATGAAGTATAAAGCGCCAGTGAAGAGGTGCTGATGCTACTCAGGCCGGCAGCTCAGGGACGACTCAGATGCACAGTAGGTGTGAAGGCTCGTGTCTGCTGCCTGGGCCTTCGTCTGCAGTGAACCCCCATCCCTGAGCCTCACGCTCGAGTCCCACATGCCCAGCAAGCAGTTCTCCTAGTGGCTGAGCAGCCTTCTGAGGAGAATCAGGCAGCACCCAGGCAGAGTCTGGACCCAGGGCCACCCTTGCTCCCTCCTGTTCAGGGCCAGCCTATCAGACTCCCGGCCCTACTTAAAGTCCTCTGCAGCTCTCCCTTTCCTAGAGAACAAAAGCCAACCTCCTTGGAGGGCTGGCAGGGCCCCCTTCTCCCCAGCACTTCACACCCACTCCACAGGCTGGCAGAGCGCCCACCAAGTCCCACACAAAGCACCAGGGATGGCAAGTAAAGGTGTGGTGGCTTGCTCCCTTCAGTGTTTTGATCCAACAAATGCAGGACAGACGAGGTCACAGAGCCCCCATTCCTCCGACAGTGTGCGGTCACCTGTCCACCTGTCACACTCGTCCTCATCGCAACATCACACATATGTCACCGCTTCTAGGAGTGCTGGGGGAAAAGCCAACCCCCGTCCCAGAGCACAGCACTTCCAACGGCAGCAGACGTCCTGGAGGCTGTGGCTGCCCTGGAGGGGACCTAGCCCTGCATCTGTGCAGACACTCCCCACCCTGCACTCAAGTCTCCCTCCAGAACTGAGCCGGGAGAGAGCTGGTCCACCTCTGCCGGCGACCGGAAGGGGCACAGTGTGTGGAGCAGCACCAAGGCCAGCTAGTCTACGGAGGGAGGCAGAGACTGGCCGTGCAGCCCATCCCTCCTGAGGCCCAGGTCTGTGACACATCTGGGACCCTCTGTCCCGGAAGCAGCCTCTTTTTTGCTAGCTTCAAAGAGCGCTGGTGTTAACTTGCAGCCAAGAGAAGCCACTAGGCAGTGGGCACTCCTACAGAGGGCCCCTGTGACCCAACTCCGTGCCCAGCGAGCACAGCACTCGCATTTTGGGTGAATGAATGTTAAAAACAAAGACCACAAAACTCTCATTTCTTTAAGAATCTAAGTTGCTGGCTAATTAGAACAAAGATCGTCTATTCTCAGTCTTATTAGCCACACTTGAGGACAAGCATCCTTCTCAACTACCTTTAGGAATTAACTCACCAAAATTTAAACTCTGGGAGCCTGCGAATGAAGGGCCGGAACTCCTCATTCTGTTTGGTTGGTAACGAGGGACCGTCATCTGAAAGGCAGAGCAGCAATCTGGGATGAAGCACACGTCTCAC